CTCTAGATTAAAGACCAGTCCGGGCGTAGTGGCTCATGCCTGTAATCCCAGCACTTTGGGAGGCTGAGTCAGGCAGATGGCCTAATGCCAGAAGTTTGAGACCAGCCTAGCCAACGTGGCGAAACTCCATCTCTACTGAAAATACAAAAATTAGCTGGGCATGGTGGTGCATACCTGTAATCCCAGCTACTTGGGAGGCTGAGGCAGGAGAATCGCTTGAACCCAGGAGGCGGAGGTTGCAGTGAGCCGAGATCATGCCACTGTATGCTAGCCTGGGCAACGAGAACAAAACTTGGTCTCAAAAATAATAAAAATAAAGCCTAAAGATCCGAATGTGGTGGCTCATGCCTGAAATCCCAGCACTTTGGGAAGCTGAGGCAGGAGGACTGCTTGAGCCCAGGAGTTCAAGACCATCCTGGGCAACGTAGGGAGACCTCCGTCCACAAAAACTAGTAAAACAACTGGAGACAGTGGCTCATGCCTGTAATCTCACCACTTTGGGAGGTTGAGGTGAGCAGATCAGCCTGAGCAACAGAGTGAGATTTCATTTCTAAAAGAAGAAAATAAAAATTACCCAGGTGTGGTGGCATGCGGCTGTATTCCCAGCTAGTCAAGAGGCTGAGGTGAGAGGCTCTCTTGAGCCCAGGAAGTAGAGGTTGCACTGAGCCGTGATCATGCCACTGCACTCCAGCCTGGGTGACACACTGAGACATTGTCTCGAAAAAAAAAAAAAAAAAAAAAAAACAAGGCCAGGTGCAGTGGCTCACGCCTGTAATCCCAGCACTTTGGGAGGCCGAGGAGGGTGGATCACGAGGTCAAGAGGTCGAGATCATCCTGGCTAACATGGTGAAACCCCGTCTCTACTGAAAATACAAACATTAGCTGGGCGTGGTGGCAGACACCTGTAATCCCAGCTACTTGGGAGGCTGAGACGGAAGAATCGCTTGAATCTGGGAGGCAGAGGTTGCAGTGAGCTGAGATTGCACCACTGTACTCCAGCCTGGGTGACAGAGTGAGACTTCGTCTCAAGAAAGGAAGAAAGGGAGGGAGGGAGGGAGGGAAAGAGAAGAGAGAAAGAAAGAAAGAAAGAACTACCCAAACCAGGAGCTCCCGAAAGTGAGTGGCTTCATCCTACTCTTTTTCCCCAGCGCTGGCCCTCGGTCAGTGTCCTTGTTGAACAGGGTAGTGTTAGGGGCACAGGTGGCAGCCGGAAGGGCAGAGGCCCTCCGCTTAGGGACATTCCTCAGCTCGCAACATTTTCTGATCCGACAGCTGGGGAGGCCGCAGAGCCAGGCCAGGAGTGACTCACCCTCAGAGCTACCAGGGCGGTGGAGGAGCCCTGCCCCGCAGAGAGGGCCCCAGCCGGCAGGTGCCGCTGTTGAGCCAGCTCTGGTAGAACCTGCTGAGGCTCAGCCGGGCCCTGGAGCCGGCCAGCCCACGGTTTTCTGCCAGAACCCAGCCCACCAGGATCTGTGAGCCGCCTCACTCTTCTTTGCCCCCATCTAGCCTCCGGCTCCCAGGCCCACAGCTTCCCCGCATTCCCGCCGCCATCGCGGAAGCCCCAGGGCAACTCCTTGGGATAAAGCCAAGTGGAGCAGCGGAGGAGGGCAGGAAGAGGCTTCAATCCTTGGCCCTAAAATCTCAGCTGCAAATTAATCCTCCCCCTTTATTCCACCCCATCTCCCTCTCCCTCCTCCCCCTCTCCCTCTCCTCCCCCTCCTCCCCCTCCTCCTCCTCCTCCTCCTCCTCCCCCTCCTCCCCCTCCTCCTCCTCCTCCTCCTCCTCATCTAGGCTTTCAAAACAAACACACACCTCCCCAGCCCATCCCCCAGCCTAGGTCTTTTTGTGGGAGTTGGGGGTCCTAGACCCCAGTTCCTTCTGCTGGATCCGGAGATCAGGGTAGAGCTGGAGAAAGGGTGACAGGGTGCTGTGACATTGTTTCTTCCCTGTCTAGGAAGGAATTGCTCTCACAGCCGTGGGGGCTGGGGAGCTGGCCCTTTACTCTAGGCTCTCCCCTGACCTACTCAAAACTCAGGATGAATAGAGCCTAGAGAGGTCATTTTGTCCATCCCCTGGCTCCAGGAAGGAACATAACCATGCGAAGTTCTTCCAGTCCTACATACGTTTGCTAATTCCTTCAACAGCCCTTCACTGTTGTGCGAGTACTGATATGTGCCAGTACCAGGAGCTTTACCTAATGCTTAAAGCACCTTAAATTCTCACTAGGACCATCAGAGATGGGTACTGTCACTCTAAATTGACTTGTCCGAAGATCCAGTTCAATCCAGGGCTTCTCTGTGACTCCTTCCAACCCATGCAGTGGAATTCATCTCATTCAGCTTTGGGGCTGCCAGTGCACCTCAAATAATATCCCAGTTACTTGTCTCATTGGCTTCTAATGATTTGTCTTCATGGGACCCTCCCACACACCTCCATTACAAGACGGTGCCAGACCACAACTAGGGAGAGTGAAGCCTGGAGGTTCTGCACTAGCCCTCACTATGTGGCCTTAAAGTTCCCTAACTTCAGCCAGGCGCAGTGGCTCAAACCTGTAATCCCAGCACTTTGGGAGGCCAAGGCGGGCAGATCACAAGGTCAGGAGTTCAAGACCAGCCTGGCCAATATGGGGAAACCCCATCTCTATTAAAAATACAAAAATTAACCGGGCATGGTGGCGGGTACCTGTAATCCCAGCTACTCGGGAGGTTGCGGTAAGAGAGTCGCTTGAACCTCAGGAGGCAGAGGTTGCCGTGAGCCGAGAGCCGAGATTGTGTGATTGCACTCCAGCCTGGGTGACAGAACTAGACTCTGTCTCAAAAAAAAAAAAAAAAAAAAAAAAAGCGGGGCTCGGATGGTTCTGGATACAGATAGAGTTGTTTCTCTTTTTTTTTTTTTTTTTTATTTGCTTCTTTCGTGAGACAGAGTCTCACTCTTGTCCAGGGTAGAGTGCTATGGGAGGCCTCATTTCACTGCAGTTTCTGCCTCCCAGGTTCAAGCAATCCTCCCACCTCAGCATTCCAAGCACGTGCCACTGTGCCCAGCTAATTTTTGTATTTTCAGTAGAGACAGTGGTCACCATGTTGCCCAGGCTGATCTTGAACTCCTGGGCTCAAGTGATCTGCCCGCCTTGGCCCCTGAAAAGTGATAGGGCTGCAGGCGTGAGCCACCATGCCTGGCCAGTTGTTTCTTCACTGGGCGTGGTTACACAGGTGTGTTGACTATGAAAATTCATTAAGCTGTACACTTACTGTTTATCTACTTTTTTGTATAAAGTTTATACATTTCTATGAAAAATTACCCTTAATATAAACAAAGACAAAGACAAATGAATTGAGTTACATGTATTACATAAATAAATCTTAAAACGTTTTAAGTAAGCAGCAAGTTATAAGATTTCGATGTCCGGGCACAGTGGCTCATGACTGTAATCCCAGCACTTTGGGAGGCTGAGGCGGGCGGATCACCTGAGGTCAGGAGTTTGAGACCAGCCTGGCCAACATGGTGAAACTGTTCTCTACTAAAAATACAAAAAATTAGCTGGGCATGGTGGCGGACGCCTGTGATCCCAGCTACTCGGGAGGCTGAGGCGGGAGAATCGCTTGAACCCAGGAGGCAGAGGTTGCAGTGAGCTGAGATTATGCCACTGCACTCCAGCCTGGGTGACAGAGTGAGACTCTGTCTCAAAAAAAAAAAATTTTGGTAGTATGATGCATAGAAATTTTTAAAGTGCTTGACACTACATAATATTTAAGCATTCATACCTAGGTAGTACAAATAAAAGGCATGCAGAGGGCCTGGCAAGGTGGTTCACGCCTATCATCCCAGCACTTTGGGAAGCTGAGGTGGGTGGATCAGCTGAGGCCAGGAGTGAGAGACCAGCCTGGCCAACATGGTGAAATCTCATCTCTAAGAAAAATACAAAAATTAAGGCCGGGCGCAGTGGCTCACGCCTGTAATCCCAGCACTTTGGGAGGCTGAGGTGGGTGAATCACGAGGTCAAGAGATCGAGACCATCCTGGTCAACAAGGTGAAACCCCGTCTCTACTAAAAATACAAAAATTAGCTGGGCATGGTGGTGCGTGCCTGTAGTCCCAGCTACTCGGGAGGCTGAGGCAGGAGAATTGCTTGAACCCAGGAGGTGGAGGTTGCGGTGAGCCGAGATCGAACCATTGCACTCCAGTCTGGGTAACAAGAGCAACACTCTGTCTCAAAAAAAAAAAACAAAAATTAGCTGGGTGTAGTGGCCAGGTGCCTGAAATCCCAGCTACTCAGGAGGCTGAGGCAGGAGAAAGAGAATCACTTGAACCCGGGAGGCAGAGGTTGAGCCAAGATCACACCATTGCACTCCAGCCTGAGCAACAGAGTGAGACTGTGTCTCAAAAAAAAAAAAAAATGCAGAGGGGTGATAAACACTGAAGGCACAACAGAGGTTTTCTTTCAGTGGGAGAGAAGGAACTGAGATATGCACCAAGGAAAAAGTTTCAGAAGTTTTTCTAGGCTGGGAGTGGTGATTCTTGTCTATAATCCTAGCCATTTTGGGAGGCTGAAATAGGAGGATCACTTGAGGTCAGGAGTTTGACTCCAGCCTGGGCAACATAGTGACACCCCATCTCTACAAAAAATCTAAAAATTAGCCAGGCTTGGTGGTGTGTACCTGTAGTGCTAGCTACTCTGGAGGCTGACGCTGGAGGACTGCTTAAGCCCAGGAGTTGGAGGTTGCACTGAGCTGTGATCAAGCCACTTCACTCCAGCCTGGGCAACAGAGTGAGACTCTGTCTCTAAAAATTTTTTAAGTCTTTCTAGCTTTATTTTTTAAGCTGGATGGTTCTTATCACGGGTGTTCATTTTATTATTCTAAATATATTTTTCTAATTAATATAGTTAAAAGAACTCTCAGTAAAAGAAAGAAAGAGGGAGAGAAAGAACAAAAAGAAAAGAGAAGAGGAAGGGAGGAAATTATGTGGGTTTTTTTGTTTTTTGTTTTTTGTTTTTTTTTAATTCAGGGGAAAGCACAAATGCAGTCCCCCACTATCACAAATTATGCAGTGGACTTTCCCACATTTGGGGAGATCGAAGGGGTCCGCACATCCGGAGTGCAATGGATAACCCTGGGAAAACCACCTTCGTGATCATGGTATCTCCCCTGCCAGGTAAGTATTGTCTTATTTATCTTCGTCTTTCCAGCATCTCCAACCCAGTGCTGGCACTTAGCAAGTGCTTGGTGAATGAAAGATCACTTGAACACTTGGCCAGTAAAGCTTCAGAACCAGGGTTTGATGCCAGACCCTCCTATGCCAGATCCCAAGTCCAGGGCCTTCCCTACTCTTCTGCAGCCGGCGTTGGGGGGTGACTGGAGAGGGGGAGCAATAGTAGAGGCCCCAACCTGACTCAGCAGTATGTGCATCTGAACTGAATTACAGAATTGCCAAATTACAGGGCACAGTGGAAGAACAAAACTTCATTTATCAGAACTCTGCAAATTCAGGGCCTGGCATGGTGGCTCACGCCTGTAATCCCAACACTCTGGGAGGCCGAGGCGAGCTGATCACTTGCAGTCAGGAGCTCAAAACCAGCCTAGCCAACATGGCACTTTGGCAGGTCGAGGTGGGCAGGTCACAAGATCAGGAGTTCAAGACCAGCCGGGCCAACACGGTGAAACCCCATCACTACTAAAAATATAAAAATTAGCTGGGCATGGTGGTGCATGCCTCTAATCCCAGCTACTCAGGCAGCTGAGGCAGGAGATTTGCTTGAACCCGGACCTGAGGGGCAGAGGGTGCAGTGAGTTGAGATTGAGCCACTGCACTCCAGCCTGGGAGACATAGTGAGACCATGTCTCAAAAAAAACACACATAACAATTAGCTGGGCATGGTGGCAGGCACCTGATCTGCTCATATCTTTTAATAATTTGATCTTAGCCTGGGCACAGTGGCTCACGCCTGTAATCCCAGCACTTTGGGAGGCAGAGGCAGGCGGATCATGAGGTCAAGAGAGCCAGACCATCCTGGCCAAGAAGGTGAAACACCATCTGCAGTAAAATACAAAAACTAGCTGGGCGTGGTGGCTCGTGCCTGTAGTTCCAGCTAGTCGGGAGGCTAAGGCAGGAGAATTGCTTGAACCCGGGAGGCAGGGCTTGCAGTGAGCCAAGATCGCACCACTGCACTCCAGCCTGGCGCCTGGCGACGGAGTGAGACTCTGTCTCAAAAATAGAAAAATAATAATAATAAGAATTTGATCTTGACTGGAAACCTTTTCAGATTTGCCTATGTGATAGATGTAGCTCGACCCACTGGGCTCTTTTACATTACTGCATCGTCCTCTTCATGGGACAAAAAGGAAGGGGGGGCTCGCTAAGCCGAGGTCCGACCCAAAGAGCTTGTGGCATCGCTTTGAACAGTGCAAGAAAATCAACAAGCAGCCTTCGGCACATTAAGTCTGCAAGCAGAGATGCCACTAATTGCAGACGCATTCTATCGTTTATTAGGCCTCATGTGGAATGCAGCCTCTGAGAAAAGCACTTCTCGCCACTCAAAACCCACCGAAGCATGCCCACCCCTGAGCGGGGCATCTAGGAATGCAAACTGAGCTGCCTCTGCAGCTGAGAGCAGAGCTAACCGCATAATGAGCACACTGGAGGGGATTCACAGGCTTTGAGGATTGTTTTGAAGGAAGAGAAATAGGTCCTACTTCTGTGAGAGGCTGATTATTCCTTTAATGCCAATCAGAGCTAATAGTTTGAAGGGTGGTGAACAGCACTGGCGGTGGTGGAAGCCACGAGAAGCCCATCTGGTTACCACATCGTCACACACCTGTCCACACAGCAGATTTCTCACCCTGACTGATACGCATTCAAGCAAGGTCTCTGCTGGGCCACACTGAGGAAGGCGGAGGTGTGACTGTACTGAATGGTAATAAAATGACAAAATGCTCTTGTTCACACTTTCCACTCAGACTGTCCTCTTGCTACCAGCAACCCCCTCAGCAGGCAGGCTGAAATCAGTTTGTCAGTCACTCATGTATCCATTTAATATTTAACAAAAAGCCATTTGTGCCAGCCACTGGGTTAGCCACTGGGGTGACAGTGATGACCAAGAGGGTCCCTACCCTCAGGATCTTGGAGTCAAGCTAACAGATCATTAGGATTTGGTATGATTAGGACGATGATAGAGGGAAATATGGAAGCCAGGGCCCAGAGAACAGTGGGGCTGGCTACTTACCTGTCCCAGCTCCTCCCTGGCAGGTGCCCAGTTTGCCAATCATGCCAACACCTGCCTCCCAAACTCACTCCTCTGGGTCTTTACCCTGACATTCTGTTGGTGATGCCCCTTCCTAACCCTACCTGACCCCAAACTGCTGCTCCTCCCCCAAGATCCAGCTTAAAATGATAAGCCCCAAATTCAGGAGGGAGGTTCATCTAGAAGGATGCAATCAGGCTGGGCATGGTGGCTCACACCTATAATCTCAGCACTTTGGGAAGCTGAGGCTGGCAGATCACCTGAGGTCAGGAGTTCAAGACCAGCCTGGCCAACATGGGCTCTACTAAAAAAAGAAATACAGGCTGGGCACGATGGCTCATGCCTGTAATCCCAGCACTTTGGGAGGCCAAGGCGGGAGGATCACGAGATCAAGAGATCGAGACCATCCCGGCCAACACGGTGAAACCCCATCTCCACTAAAAATACAAAAATTAGCTGGGCATAGTGATGCATGCCTATAGTCCCAGCTACTCAGGAGGCTGAGGCAGGAGAATTGCTTGAACCTGGGAGTTGGAGGTTGCAGTGAGCCGAGATCATGCCAGTGCAGTCCAGTGTGGGCAAAAGAGCAAGACTCCATCTCAAAAAAATAAAAAATACAAGGCTGGGTGCGGTGGCTCACGCCTGTAATCCCAGCACTTTGGGAGGCCAAGATGGGTGGATCACCTGAGATCAGAAGTTCCAGACCAGCCTGGCCAACATGGTGACACTCCATCTCTAAAAATAAAAAATAAAATAAATAAAAAATAAAAAATGCAACCAGGGAAGAAAACCTTGGGAACAATTTTGGGGAGGGACGGGTACTATTTTTAATGTTTTATTTCCTAAGCAAGAGGTTTATTCTATTATTCTATATATGCCTTTCTGTGTCTGAAATATTTCAACATAATATATTTCCAGAAGAAATTCCATTCAAGCCACACCTCCATCTTTAGCCCTACCTCCTGCTATGTTTCCTTGTCAAGAATCACGCTCGAAATTCCCTTACTGTCAGTCAGAAGCAACTTTGTGTTTCTACAGATGCATGGAAATGATTGTCACCAAGCTAGGATCCCTATTACCGTTCAAAGCGATGCCCCAAGCTCTTTGGGTCGGACCTCGGCTTAGCGAGCCCCCCTCTTCCTTTTTGTCCCATGAAGAGGACAATGCAGTAATGTAAAAGAGCCCAGTGGGTCGAGCTGCATCTATCACATAGGCAAATCTGAAAAGGTTTCCAGTCAAGATAGGAGGGAGAGTGCAATTCGGGAGCAGAATAATGCTGGGGCTTCAACAATCACCACAAGGTTGCCATTTTTTTCTTCCCACACACAGCATTAAATATTGCTACTTCTTAAACCGGTGATGGGTACCTAGGTGTTTTAGTAGAGATGGGGTTTCACTGGGGAACATGGCAAAACCCCATCAATATTTTAGCCATAAATACAAAATTTTGTGTAAAATATTATATAATATTTTATAGCTAAAATGTATATATAAAATATATATATATATATATATTTTTTTTTTTTTGAGACGGAGTATTTCTCTTGCCACCCAGACTGGAGTGCAGTGGAGCAATCTCACTGCAACCTCCGTCTCCCAGGTTCAAGCGATTCTCCTGCCTCGGTCTCCGAATAACTGGGATTATAGGCATGCACCACCACGCCCAGTTAATTTTATATTTTTGGTAGAGACAGGGTTTCACCATGTTGGCTAGGATGGTCTTCATCTCTTAAGCTCGTGATCTACCCACCTCAGCCTCCCAAAGTGTTGAGATTACAGGCATGAGCCACTGCGCCCAGCCTAAAATATTGTATGTCTAAAATATCATATAAGAAAATGTGGCCGGGCGCGGTGGCTCAAGCCTGTAATCCCAGCACTTTGGGAGGCCGAGGCTGGGGGATCACAAGGTCGAGAGATCGAGACCAACCCGGTCAACATGGTGAAACCCCGTCTCTACTAAAAATACAAAACATTAGCTGGGCATGGTGGCGCGTGCCTATAATCCCAGCTACTCAGGAGGCTGAGGCAGGAGAATTGCCTGAACCCAGGAGGCGGAGGTTGCGGTGAGCCGAGATCGCGCCATTGCACTCCAGCCTGGGTAACAAGAGCGAAACTCCGTCTCAAAAAAAAAAAAAGAAAGAAAGAAAGAAAAAAAGAAATTAAACATTTGAAAAGCAACTCTGGGCGGGGCAGGATGGTTCACGCCTATAATCCCAGCACTTTGGGAGGCTGAGGCAAGTGGATCACTTGAGATCAGGAGTTCAAAACCAGCCTGGCCAACACAGTGAAACCCCATCTGTACCAAAAATATAAATAATTAGCTGGGTGCAGTGGCATGCACCTATAGTCCCAGCTACTTGGGAGCCTGAGGCAGGAGAATCACTTGAACCCAGGAGGCAGAGGTTGCAGTGAGCCGAGATCGCACCACTGCACTCCAGCCTGGGTGACATAGCTAGACTTCATGTCAAAAAATTAAAAAATACAAATACAAATACAAAATTAGCCAAGTGTCGTGGTACATGCCTGTAATCCCAGGTACTGTGAAGGCTGAGGCAGGAGACTTGCTTGAATCTGAGAGGCAAAGGTTCAGTGAGCTGAGACAGTGCCACTGAACTCCAGCCTGGATGACAGAGCAAAACTCTGACAAAAAAAGAAAAAAGAAAAGCAACTCTGTCCAGAATAAGAGGGGAGGAGGAGGGAAGAAGGAAGGAAAAAAAGGAGAAGGGGTTGGGCACAGTGATTCACATCTATAATCTCAGCACCTTGGGAGGCCAGGGCAGGAGAACTGATTGAGACCAGAAGTTTGAGACCAGCCTGGGCAACATAGCAAGACCCCATCTCTACAACAAAATAAAAGGAAGGTAGAAGGAAAAAGAAAGATAGAAGGTAGCAGTTGATGCAATTGGTAAGGAAGAGTAAAGA